AACGAACAGCCACACTGAAAAGGATGCGAATAAATAAATCTCCAGCTAGGCATGGTCTGAAGTCTGCTGTGAATGGCTGAGAACATTAAATGCACAAAGCAATGATGAAATATTTTAAAGTTGTGGAAAGTTTTGGGTTGGTGTTTTGTGGTTATTACGAGATTGTACGAATGCCTAAATACAAGTAAATTTTTTTATTTACAGAATTTATTTATAAACAGAATCTAAATAGCCTTCCAATTAACTACAACGGAAACCACCATGCAATAGTATGGAGGGTATAACTTTGTCTTTCCGTCTGTAACTCATCGAAATAATAATTTTAGACCCAACAAGGTATATACATTCATGATCAGCGTAAAATTGTGTGTCGATTTGGCCACATCCGATCGTCCGTCCGTCTGTTGTAATCACGTTAGAGTCCAAACTACAAAGAAATCTCATTCGTATATCCGCCGTATAATTGTATCTCTCCATATTTGGTATTTCGATGATTTCAAATTCGGTAGTAAGAGTTAATAAAGGGCTCTACCTCCTGTGGTAGAATATATTCTACATAGGTCCACGTTTTCCTATAGCCTCGTTTTCATATAGCCCTCCCGATAATCAGTATGTTAACGATTTTAGTCATTTTTCAAACGGAATATTTTAAAATTCGATATTTTAGTTTAACAAAGGTTCTATCTATTCCGGCAAGTCATTGTATATATGTATTCGGTGTTTTGACGATTTTGGCCATATTTTCCAACGAAGTTATTTATTACGGGGTATTTGGATTATGTAAAAGGATTTACACCCGATATTCATTATTTTCAAGATCTATCCACATATTTATACAGATGTTTGAAATTTGGATTGTATACTGGAATATAACCGAACTTAATTGTTTATGTCTTTGTGCAGGGTATTATGTATTTGTGCATTTGTATGAAAAAGAAGGTAGATAGACCCATAGATCCTTTTGATGAGCTGTTTAGAATCAAACTTTGCGTCGATTTATGCATGCCCGTCCGTCCGCCTGTCCGTCTGTATATGTATTTTTATAAACAAAGTACAGTTGGCATCCATTGTTCCATCGAGATGAAATTTTGCACAAATGATTAGTTTGGTTCAAGGACAAACCTTATTGAAATTTGAGATAATCGGATAATTCTCACATATATCTTCGTCCGATTTGTTTTTTTTTTTTTTTTTTGCATTAATCCGACCATATTGAGCCTAGAAACAAGAATGTCGAAATTTTTGGAAATCGGATCAGATATAGCTATAACTCTCTTATATATGTTTAATCCGATTTCTTATTTTGTCTTCAACAGGCGTAACATGCACTCCGTAATAACGATATTCAGGGAAATATATCAAATACAGCTTAGAAATACCTTTAGCAAATTTTATGAAGATTCAGATCTTGATATTGCTTCCATATATATTTTTACTCGATTTCATGTTAATTGTGCACCAAGTGGTTATTAAAAACCAGAATTAAATGGATTTTGGCACATACGAACGTATTTATCCTGGAAGAAAGTGTATCAAATTTGGTGAAAATTGGCTAAGGTATAGCCATTGGTCCCATATATATATTCCATCTGATTTTGTATTCTTGTCCCTCACAACTACCAGATACAGCTTAGACATGCCGCTGCCAAATTTTGTAGAGATCAGTTCAGATTTGGATATAGCTCCCATATAGTCATCCGATGACACTTTTATTGTGAATAAAACTTGTAATATCAGCTGAAATAGAATGTATTTTGATGAATATTGGTTCAAATACAAATGCCTCCGTCAAATTTATTAGAAATCGTATAACCGTATAATTGTATAGGAGGAGAATATATCTCCCATATATTAGTTTCTTCCGGCTTTAATTTATAACTGTTTTTAAACTATAACATGCATTCAAAAACGATTATAGTTTGTATGACTTTTTTTGCTGGAGCGAGAGCCATTGTATAACCGAATTCGAACAAACAATTCGGAGCTCAAGTTTTTACCTCAAATAAAGTAGTAAAATTTTTTAAAATATACAAAAACAGAAAATTAGGATTAACATGGATGGAAGGGAAGGGTACAACAACATGCCTATGTAGGTCTTCGTATAGCCAACATATACCTCCCTTTATTCCGTACTTCTACTATGTAGGACTACGTCGCTCGCTTTGCTGGCATGCTCGCCTTTGCTGGCACCAACATTTTAATTAAAATTTCCATGACCATTTTGCATAAATGCTGCGGTATTTCAATAATGCATTGTCCTATTTCTTAGTTAAAGGCTTGAGTTCTCCCCGTAAGCCATCAACTTCAAACCCCCTTTAAGAATAAAATTTAAAGTTGTTAAATTGCATGATCTAGGCCGGTAATTCTGTTCTTCAAAACGAAAATAACTTTACCGGAAATGACTGATGCAGAAATTGAGTTGTTCCTCTGTATCAAATGTGGCTACGTTTTGTTGAAACCACATGTCCTCCAAATTCATTTTAGGCAAAAAAAACTGGTTATCATTTCACGATACCGAACGCCACAGACTGTTCGGGCTTAATCTGCCTCATTTTCATAAAAAAGCTCAAATGATTCCTCCAGCCCAAAAACCACACCCCACAGTGATCAACATTTTGAGGTACCAGAAGGGATGGACCGATATATTCCATGTACACACCAGATCTTGTGTTAGATGAAATTTTGGGATTTGAAGATAATTTGTTATTGTTATTCACACTTTTGACCTTTTTTGAGGAAGTTACATGATGTAGTGGGCCGACATTGTCCATTTTCGCACCTGATATAGCAGTGGTAAAAATATTTGGATTTGCACAGTTTGCACAAAATGGGATGATCTTTTCTTGATCTACACGTGAATTATTTTCTGTGCAAATTTGATTTTGTGGAGGAGGTACCAGAAGAAGCTGACCTATATTGCCCATGTTCGAAATCAGTCTAAGTTTGATAATAAGATTATGATTTACCAGGTTTGGATCAAACTGAATTTGTACTACAGCACTTTTTGTATTGAAAATGGGCTATATAGGTACACATTTCGGTAAAGCCCCCATGTAATTATACCGACAGATTTAAGTTTTAATGCCTATTTTAGTCACAATTTTAACCCAAATTTGATTTAACTTGGCGGTATATCTTTCCCTTAGGTAATATAAATCCTTGCATCGAATTGTTAACGTAGGTAGGTGTTAAGTTGTGATATAGTCCCTAAATAACTTTACCTCCAAATATTTTGCATTTTGGTGATTAGTGTCACATTCTTCACCGATGCTCACGAAAAATTTCACAAGGGTAGGGTTAGGATCAGAAGGGCTATGCCTATTGTTTTCGAAGATGGGTTTAAATGGACCAACAACTAAAAATGTTCCTGATTTTTCCGGTGTCACCAAAAGAAACCAAAGGACACGAAATCTCGCATGAAGCTAGAGGTTAGGACAGCGGGTTGAATGGACCACCACTTTTTTGTGAAAAAATACCAACATTTCCATTCTACCGAAATCCTGAAAATAACTTACAGGCGAAATCCAAATACATAAATGGCGAAATTCAGGTTTTTGGGCAGATTTCGTTGACGAATATAGCCAAATATCGTAGACAAGCAAATCATATAGATAAGCCTAACTTTAGAGATACACAGGGCCTCTTGCTTGTGGAGATGATTGAAAAATATTTAGGAGTTCAAATGAACCAAAAACAAAAACATTTCCTGATCACACAATTGAAGCCAATCGACACGCCTGAAAAGGGAGTTATGGACAGGGAAGAATTCTAACATTTTGGATGATCATTGGATTATATTTAGCTGTGCAATGGACCACAACAACTAACAGCACGACGGAGTGCGTAAATATTGTCCCTGGTCAAAATGCTAATGGAAAAATCTGGGCAGTGCTCCGGGACAAAATTTCAAAAGCGAAATATTCCAAAATGGATTTGGACATAAGGGGGCTTCTAACATATTGTAGTGTTGTAGGGTATCACATGGTCGGCCCCGCACGATTATAGCCTTTGCTTGCATTTTGAGAACAAAGATTATTATACCCTCCACCTCCACCATACATAGTTTGTAACTCACCGAAATAATAATGTTAGGTCCAACGAAGTATATAAATATTCTTGATCAGCAAAAAATTATAATTCTAAAGTTGTAATTACGCTACAGTCAAAACGAATTAAGAGAGGAAACTCGATCTTTTGTCTGCAGGCAGGTCAAGTTAGGAAATGCGCCATATCGGTCCACGATATCGTGTAGACCACATATAACGTTACCTCTCCGCTATTCTGTATTTTGATGATTTTAGCCGCATTTTTCAATGAAATTGTCAGAAATTCTACCTTATGAGTACTTTAGTCCCTAAAAGAAAATTGTCTATATAGGTCCACGATATCGTATATCCCCCTTATAACAGTACCCCAGATATTCGGTATTTTGATGATTTAAGGCAAAATGTTAATGAAATTGTCTTAAAATCCACACGAAGGGTTCCTTCTGAGTACTTTACCCCCTAGAAGAGAATTATGTAAGTAGTTGCACGTTTTAGTATAGCGCCCATATAACAGTACCCCCAGATTTTAGGTATTTTCATGATTTTTACGACATTATTCACCGGAATTGTTTCAAATTTCGTGTGTAAATTTCGGAACAGTTACTACAGCCTATGATACAAATTTCTTATGCAGGACCACGTCTTCGTATAGCCCCCATATAACGGGTTTTCATTTGAGCGGTATTTCCCGACGGAATTTTTTGAAAAATTTTCAAGTTTCTTCCAAATGCTGGAGGATATGAAAAGTTCGGACCGGCCGAATGTGTGTAGAAAGAATAAAGAATAATATTTCACCTCCTGCTTATAACGCAACAAAAAAGGAATTAAAATTTTTCTAAAAAGTATTCATTAATTTATATTCTTTAGAATTGTCTTTGCAACAACAGCATGAGCATAGAAAATATGTAATTGTCATTTCTTTTTTAGGCTATTGAAATAATAAACAGTTTAAATATAAACAGTAGACATATTGAATCACTGGTATTTTAGAATTATTTCCATGTAAGTATTGTTCCATTGTTTTAACTTAGACAATACCACCGATGAATTCGTAAAAGCAAGGCCAAATCGTTTTTTGTAATTTACGCAGCAGAAATGAATGCAAAATTTTGACAAGTTTTTTTGTTACTCAGTTTTTATTTATGACGTTCATCAGTGTATTTACAATTACATTGAATTATTTTTGTTTTTTGTTTTTATTATATTTATTATTAAAAAATGTAAACTAGGACTTATTTAAAAACTAAAATTAGTGGACTGCATCGGCATTGGTTTTCTCTTACAAAAGAAGAATTATTTTTAAAATCGAAAACAAATAATATTATTTTAATCTCATTTTTTGTTTTGTTTTGTTTTTTCTCTCGACGTTATAGAATGCAAGCATGTAAGCGGTACTCATTACATTTTCTTTGTAATGTAAATCTATGAACTAACTTATGCTTTAATTGATAAATATAAAATTATTATATAAAATAGTTTGAATAGAAATTTTGTAAAAAAAGAAAAGATCGAACTTATGTTAGTGTTTTATTTCTTTTTGTTTTTAATTAAATCTATGTTTACTTATTCACTCCTTAATTAGATTCATTCGTATCGTTCTCATCATTTTATTATTATTATATTTTTTATGTATTCTTTATTTATTTTTACAACTATATAGAAAAAAGCACAACACAAAATTCTTGTACAATACAATAAGAACACAGGGTGAATTTAAAAAACAAACTATTTAGTTTTTAGTTTACTTCTTATTTTGTTTTTTCTTAATACATGGATTATTCCGTGTAAATGTGGACAGTAGTAAATATTTTTAATTTGTTATTTGTTTTAAGAAACCAAAGGAGACAAAATCCAAAAAAAAAAACCACAACCTCGACTAATGCGTTTGTTAAAAGGAAAATTGTTCGCTTTGATATTTTCAAATATTCCTACGTGAAACTGTTTTGTATATTTATTTGCACAGGATTTTTTTGAAATCATAGAAATATTATCATCCAATACAAATGTCAGTCGTTATATAGTGTTCAGTTTTATTTTTCAATTTTCAGCATTGAAGGTGATGCACATTTGACAATAGTTTCAAATTGTTTTAATTTAAAAAAAAATGGTCTTGCAAAATAGTTAGGCTTAATCCCATAATTGTTGTTTTTTATAAAAATAACATTTGTTTATTAGTGGACAACGACAACGATGGGGTAAGGTAAGATAATACCTAGTTTTTGGAAAGAGCCACAAATCCTCGTCATTTCCCTTTTTTGTCTGGGATATTCTCCCCCAGGAGTTATTTTAACGAAAGCATAACAAGTGGGGAGACATAAAAATGTTTAGAAGTGTGATGATAAGATTTAGAAGTTTTTCCAAAAGAATTTTAGTTTAATTTAATTCTTTAATTCTCTTCTATTGAGCTTACGATGTCGTCACTTGGGTGAAAAAAGCTGAGTCGATCTAGCTATGTATACCCGTCCGGCTGTCTGTCTGTCCATCTTAATTTGTAATCACTCTACAGGTCGCAATTATGTCCAGATCTCCACCAAATTTAGAATATAGGTGTGGTTATGGCCAGAATAGAAGTCTGTTGCTTTTGGTGATAATCGCATAATATTGAAATGGACTAAAAACTACAACATTTCCTAAATTTGCAGTTGATCTACAGGTCGCAATTATAGAGGCGGAAGTTAGTGGGTGAAATAGACCATAATATTTGTGTTAAATAAAAGTCAAATTTTCCATTAAACCGCGAATATTTTTAATTCCGGCGAAATCACAAATAACCGAACAGGTCAATTCTGACCGTTACGTAGATTATTATAGTAAATATATCGGATATATATAGCGAAATATATACAATGTGTATATACAAAGGAAGGAGATGTTAGCTAGAAGGCTTATATCTCAAGAATGGATGGACCGATTTTCACAAATTTTGCCAATTCAGAATACCCTCTTGGCAAAAAATAAAATCTAAAAAAATCGCATAAAAAGATGCCGATAATGATGTTTATATAGATTTTGTGACATTTTTCTTTTATTTTTTCATATTTTTTATCGCTTGCGATTTTTTCAATTTGAATATTGAAGTATATATTTTGTAATATTTTTTCACCTTACAACACATGTTGGGGTTATTATATACAGTGTGCAATTATCGTCCGATCCCCACAAGAGTAGGGTTATGCTCAGAAGGGCTTGGCATATTGTTTTCAAAGATGCCCGCAATATATTTAGGGGTTGAAATGAACCAAAAACCGAAAAAATTTCCTGATCACACAATTGAATCCAATCGACTCGCCTGAGAAGAAAGTTAAGGACAGGGAAGAATCCTAGCATTTTGGATAACCATTGGATTATATTTAGCTGTAAGATGGAATACAACAACTAAAAATACGACGAAGTGCGTAAATATTGGGCAAATGTCCCTGGTAAAAATGCTAAGGGTAATATCTGGGCAGTACTCTATGACATTATTTCAAAAGTGAAACCTTCAAAAATGGATTTCGATATAAAAGGGCTTCTGACGTATTGTAGTGTTGTAGGGTATCACATGGTCGGCCCGCACGACCATAGGCTCTGCTTTCTTGTTTTAAAATAACTCCTGGGAAGAATATCCTAGACAAAATAAAAGAGAACTGAAGTGAATCCGAAACATAGGTATTCCCTGCCTTACCCCCATCGTGGTCGTTGCTCACTAATAAACAGATATTGTTTCTATAAAAATAACAATAATGGGATTAAAAATAACAATAATGGGATTTAAAATAACTCCTGGGAAGAATATCCTAGACAAAATAAAAGAGAACTGAAGTGAATCCGAAACATAGGTATTCCCTGCCTTACCCCCATCGTGGTCGTTGCTCACTAATAAACAGATATTGTTTCTATAAAAATAACAATAATGGGATTAAACCTAACTATTTTGCAACAGCAAAATACTATGGTTTCCCGAAAAAATATGCCAACATTGTTCTAATTTTTTTTTGTTTATTTCTGTCTCATTCAGTTATTAGTATCCTAATTGAGAACTGTTCATTTAAACTAAGAAAATTCAATGTCCTTGGAATAATCCTTAATTGTATGTTTTACCAGTTATTTTAAGTGTAAAAATTTATGTATTTCTTATTTTGGTTTTCTTTTCTGTTATAGTTACCCAAAAAAATATATATTTTTTTATTTAAACCCCACTTGTAAACCCTGTTGAAAAATGTGGTTACGCTAAAGCATCAATTTTGGATTGGTGCCCAAAAGAGCCATACTCTTTAACCAACTTGTGTTCCATAGACAATGGCTAATATCAGCAATAAGATGCTACGGACATGGAATACCTTTTCGGCAGCATTGACAGGCGCGAGAACTTGAACATTACTGCTACGTGCATCCATAAGATCGCGCGACAACGGTAATTCTGTGGGATCGCTTAACTCTTCGTGACACGGCAAACGATCCGATCTCAACAAAAAGAGACGCACCTGAATGCCCAATGGCTGTTTTGGCAATACTTCCACCGCATCCAAGTGATTGTTGTGGGTGGCTGATAGAATTTCATTGTTTTGTTGGAATAGGGCAGTGTGTTTCAACAATTCCAAATCATCTTCCACTTTTAATGGATGTGTGGAAACGCGTCCAGCATTTGCGGCCTCAAAGTAATCGTTATGCAGATCACCGTTGCTACTGCTGTCCGGACCGCCAAAGATGTAATGACTTTCTACGGTAGTTTTGCTACCGGCTTCACTTGCGCCGCTGAAATCAACGGAGCCAGTGCCCTTGTATTGGGATAGGGAAAGAGCACGTTTCTTCTTCAATGCGGCTGAATTCTCCATATGCATATGCTGCTCTGCATCCTCGTTTAATTGCATGTGTCCATCAAATTTATTGTTGCCTCTTCGCTGTGACCCTTGACGATTTTTTCCTAGTCGTTTCTTGTTCGCACTGCCGGTGGCCACATTCTGATCCAAACTGCTAGCTCCACTTAAGCCTCCCACATTGAGCAGTTGCAGGACATGGCTGGGCACGGGCTCAATGAAGTTGTGTAGACGCGGCTCCTGCAAGGTACAAATGAAATCTTCCAAGGAGTCACGCAACTGCTGGAAACGAGTACGATTTTTCAATTCATACAACCATTGCAAACGACAATCACAAATAAAATTGTTATCTGAAATGAAAGCAAAGAAAGGTAGAAATGATTTTAGAATCAAGTAAAGGACATACACATAGAAGAAATGAAAAAAAAAAAATCATTCATTTAGTGAACAGCTAGTGTTGGCTTGCAGTTTCTAAAAAAAACCTAAAAAACCTAAAACAAATTGTTTTCCTGAATCTGCAAGAACCAATTGACACTTTGACAGCAATAAATTGGCAAATGTCCTGACAGGTTAAATGTCTCCGACACCTATGTTCATGCGGTATAAAATATTCGAATTACTTTTGGGTGATTTAGCCGACATTTGAAGCCTGCTGTTTTGCATTGAAGTCTATGTGTTTGGTTAAAATATGACACTTGTTTCATTTCCATTTGAATTCACCTTTCTTTGTTTGTTTGTTTATGTGTCATTCTGCATTCTATTCGTAACGTTCACAAGTCTCTGCAAGCATTGTATTCTCTTAATGTAGAAATTAAAATGTTTTGTAAGTATATGTCTGAACTCTCTTCACATTTCTGTTCATTTGACATTTGCAGAACATGGCTTCAGCGAACACAAATGCAGCAAGACTGGCATTTCGTCTATTCCAAAAACAAATGACTTGCAATATAAAGTCCTTTGAACTTTGAACTAGCTTAAATGACTTGTTGACTGGCATTACCTGCAAAGTATATTCTTGATTTAAGCTAAAATATATATTTTAATGGAAAATTGTATAGCTAGCTACAAGAAATGTTTTTTTCTATGAAAAATATTTTGCAAAGAATTTATTGTTTAATTCAAATGTTTTAGAGGAAAACTCCACCATCTCCAATCTCCTTTTCAATGTGTTTTTCCTTAAAGATTCCGTCTGCAATATTAGTGGTCTAATTAATTAAGTTAATTTAAATCATATTAATAAAACATGAATAAAAACGATTTTATATTGACAATAAATGTTTATTCTCTCAACTTATTTGCAGTAAGCTGCTAATGAGAGTGAAGGCAGCGAAAGAATGAAACTGATCTTATTAGCATCGTTATATTCAATTCCAAGTCGATTTAACGATGTCCATCTGTCTGCTGAAATCACGATAAAACCCACATTTTTTTACGTAGAGCTTCAAGACTTGCTTTGTGTCTAGGATGGTAGGTATTGAAAATGGCATATATCGATCCACGTTTTGGCATAGCCGACATATAACGGTACCTCCCGATATTCGGTATTTTAATAATTTTCCCACGGATTGGTCTAAAAATTGGTATTTGTTGGTTAATTGCTGGCGTGGCCAACCATTTGATACCCTACACCGCTATAATTTGTGGTAATCTGAATCTGAAATCAATATGAATAAAGCGAACGAGTCCCTCAAGATATTGGCGTACATAAAAACTATTCCAACTATTATTTCTCGCTTCCTAATTTTCGATTTTCGGGTTTAAAGTAATGTATTATGCCCGGATTGTCTAATGATACCCTACAACTATATAATATTTGTGTTAAATAAAAGTCAAATTGACCATTAAACCGCAAATATTTTTAATCCCGGCGAATCACAAATAGACAGGTCAATTCTGACCGTTACGTAGACGCCGATAGTAAATATATCGGTTATATATAGCGATATTTGTGCAATGTGCACATACAAAAGAAGGGGATGTTAGCTAGAATTCTTATATCTCAAGAATAGCTGGACCGATTTTGACAATTTAGAATGCCCTCTTGATATAAAAGCATAAAAATCTTAGAAAATCGCATAAAAAGATGCCAATAATGATGTTAGTATTGAGATTTTTTCAATTTGACTTAATTTTGAAGTGTACATTTTTACTTTACAACACAGATTGGGGATATTATATGCAGATTGCAATTATCGTCAGATCTTCACGAAAATTTTCACAAGGATAGGGTAAGGCTCAGAAGGGTTAGGCATATTATTTTTAAAGTTATCCGCGATATATTTAGGGGTTGAAATGAACCAACAACTAAAAATGTTCCTGATATTGCAGACTTTATAAAGGTCACAAATAGAAACCAAAATACACGAAATCTCGCATTAAGTTAGAGTTTAGTACAGCGAGAAAAATGGTATTGGTATTTTGTGTGAAGAAATACCAACATTTCCATTCTACCGGAACGCTGAAAAAAAATTACATTCGAAATCCAAAATACACAAATGTCAAACTTCTAGCTTTTTTACTGATTTCGTTGACGAATATAGTCAAATATTGTAGACAAGCAAGTCATATAGACGAGTCTAAATTTAGCTTCTTGCTTTTGGAAATGATCACAACATATTTAGGGGATCAAATGAACCAAAAACAGAAAAACCTTTCCTGATCACACTTTTGTAGCCAATCGACACGCCTGAGAAGAGAGTTAAGGACAGGGAAGAATTCTAGCATTTTGGACGACCATTGGATCATATTTAGCTGTAAAATGAACTACAACAACTAATATCATGACGGAGTGCGTAAATATTGTGCAAATGTCCCTGGTAAAAATGTTAGGGGTAATATCTGGGCAGTGCTCCGTGACATAATTTCAAAAGCTAAATTTTCCAAACTAGATTTGGACATAAGGGGGCTTCTAACATATTGTTGAGTATCACATGGTCGGCCCGCACGGCTATAGCCTTTGCTTATTTGTTTCAGTTTGACTTATAATATTGAAGTGTACATTCTGTAATATTTTTCACTTTACAACACAGGTTGGGTTTATTATATACAGATTACAATTATCGTCCGATCTTTACGAAAATTTTCACAAGGGTAGGGTTAGGCTGAGAAGGGCTAGGCCTATTGTTTTCACAGATGTACGCAATATATTTAGGGGTTTAAATGGACCAGCAAAAATGTTCCTAATTTTGCAGACGTTAAAAGGTAACATATATAAAGCAAAGGACAGGAAATATCGCATGAAGTTAGAGTTTAGGACAGCTAATTTTGTGTGAAAAAATATCAACATTTCCATTCTACCGAAACAGTGAAAATAACTTAACGAACTTTTGGCTTTTTATGCTGTTTTCGGTGACGAATATATATACATTTTCCTAATCACACAATATCGACACGCCTGAGAAAAGAGTTAAGGACAGGGAAGAATTCTAGCATTTTGGATGAACTTTGGATTATATTTAACTGTAAAATGGACCACAACCACTAACAGCACGACGAAGTGCGAATAAGCGAACCGCAACGAATTTTTAGTTGGAGTTCATGTTATGACTTTCAGAATATTGAAATAGAAAGTCGAACAAATGTGGCGCTGATGTGTAGTATATATTAGAGATGTGTCCAAATCTGAACAGATCGCGACAAAACTTGAAAATTTGGTAAATATTATTGAAAGAGTCTATAGGTGTAAGAAAAAAATTTTCTATTCATTTTTAATATTTACATTTTGAATCTTTGGCTTTGGCGTTTAGCAAAATTTCCCTTATTTGACTTGGTTTTATTTTGCTTAATTCGCGCTTGCCGGAGCTACTGCTTTCTAATAGAACTTAACATTTTCTCAATAAAAAGATTTCACTGTACTGGGCTCATTACATTACAACTTTGAAATTTATACTTGGCTGATAGAAAACGAAATAGTTTCAATTAAAACAGAATTAAATAAAATTCAAATTTAGTGGTGAATCTTATATAATTATAAAAGTCCTTTTAATCCTCCACTCTTTGATATCTATTAGTTCCTGGTTCACTTACATGAATACAAATGAATAATGTGTTGACAATCTTAACTGTAATAAAATGAAATTAAACAATCACGTCTCTGTCAGGGTACACTGGAAAAGTTGTTGACCCATAACAACCTTGTGTTAACATTGCTCGGAAGCATAACCAACACCAGTTTGCTTTTAGACGGCCGGCTTCATGAATATTTGTCACTCTGTCTGCACGATACCGCAATAGTCCAGGAAATTTTCTATTATTCACATTTATTTATGTTCCCCCCCATTCACCACAGGATGCTTTCGAATAAAATATGTATGTATGTAGACGTGGACGTTTTCATTTGAATCGGTTTGTCTGTAAGCCAGCGACTGTTGACTGGTTGTTTAACAATGTGGTATATTCGTTTGTATGTATGCATGAATGTAATTGGCTGTGTATGTAACGTTTGCTTTCGGGGAAGCGGTCGAAATATGAATGCCAATTGTTTAACTAAGAGGGCGTATAATCATAATTTAAATGTTTTTTCTTCATTTCTTTTTATGTTGTATTTTTTCATAAAAAGAGGCATATTACGTTTGTTATTCGATTGGTGCGGTGGAATTCATAATATAGTAACATTTCAAAAATTAGATTAAGATAAATAAGAAAATCTGAAATTTGCAGAAAAAATAGGATGCCATAGTGTTATTTTACTTTTCTCTTTGTTATAAGACGCTGTATGAACCAAATTACCCATTAAGAGTAAACCAACTACCTTCTGCATTACCAGTAGGTCGCAAATAATGGGTTATTTCTAAAAACCAAAAACAGCTAATTTCGAACGGACCGATCTTTTATTGAAGAAACTTGAAAAATTTCCAAAAAAAAAAAAAAAAATCCGTCGAAAGATACCGCTCAAAGGAAAACCGTTATATATAGGGTGAGAAAACTGCAACCAACGTCAGACTGCTGTCGTTTTAAAGCCACTCGTCCGACAGCTGTTAAAATTATTCCAGTGACAGCTAATAATATAATGTTTACAAGCGTACAAAAACATTTTGGTGGGAATTTTCCAGAAAAAAAGTTATTCGTGATGGAATTCAAGCGTGATAGTGTGATTTATTTATATTTGGCTGGAAAACCACAAGTGGCTATCGTTAGAGCACTCCAGCATTTAAATGTGAATGAACCTTTGGTGTCTCGCAACATCGCTCGTTAAAGTGATACTGGTAGCGTAGCCCGACGTCAAGGAATTGGACGGAGGAAAACAGCAACATTAGCAGAAATTGTTCGAAAAGTAAAGAAGCAACTTGATCGAAACCCGCGTCGCAGTGGCCGAAAAATGACTATTGAGCTGAACATATCGCAATATTCC